GCCGTAGCCCTTCCGAGCCTCAGTTCCGTGAGCGGTCCTTGCGGAGTCTGAGCAGTGCGCCCGGCAGAGCTGACGGGCCCGGCTGGGCGCTGGCTCAGCCTACCCGTGTCACAGCGGGAAGGAGCCGGCTGCCCCTGCACCTTGCATTTGGTCCTCAGCCACACCCCTGCGTCCTGCATGCTCATTATCCCAGTGGTATCGCACTTCTTAAGGTCCCCACTAGCCTGAAGCGTCAGATCTAGGGGACACTTTCCAGGCACGTTCTCCAAAGCATCGCAGCTTCCTGAAACTCCATCAAATGGCATGGCTCCTTGCTCTCAATCTTCCTCAACTATTCCAAGCACTTTTCCTTACTCTCTGACACTGAACCCTACAACACCAGTGTTCAGTACAGTCTCATCTTCAGTCAGCTGCTCGTCCATCTTTACACTTAACTCCCAGGGACGTCCCTGCGTCTCTGCAGCCTTCCCCTGTGGGGGCTGTGCTCATGATTCCTAACGCAGTGTCTGTAGGCCAGACGGGACTCCAGAAATGCGGGCCCGACTCTCCTCCACCCCCAGACATCTCCACATGCTCTCTAAAGTCACTCAAATCTAACATGTTACAAACTTCTTAGAAGATACATCTACATACCCACTCTTGTAGATACATGGATGGAGAGAGAGAGATTGTGCCCTGTGATAGAAATAATATAGTTGTAAAAAATGTTTTTGAACCTCAAGTTAAATACACAGAAACTAAGAAAGAACCTGAGATAAAGAAGATAAAGAACCTGAGATAAAGATAAACTATTCATCTTATATGCTAGGAAGTGGAGCTAGAACATTGTTCAATTTCGGCCATGAACAATTAGTTGAATATAAGTTTAAAGAGGCATGCCAACAACTCATAATGACAGTATCAAGATGTCTAACTGCAAATTGCTTCAGAAAGTGACAGAAACACAACAGAATACACAGAGGGAAAAGCAGAGAAGGAGAACATCAAAGCAACAGAAACAACAGACCCCACAGAGCAAGATGACAGACGTAAGACTATAGGCTATTAATACGGTGATTATGAAGAATTTTTAATAATGAGGATGCTTATGGTTGTTGATAACAAGCAATGCCTCGTGAAAAACCGAACGGCATGCACAAACGGTCACAATTATGTACAACACGCACGGATGTCTGTCCACAGCACAGCACAGGAAGAACATGCATTTTAGAATCCACGGACCCAGATTTGAATTCGTGATCCACGGCTTAACCACGTGAGCTGGAGTCAGCTATCAAGCCCACTGTACTTTCGTTTTTTAAATTGTGTTTTTATTAAAGAGAAGTCAGTTCACAATGTTAGTTTCAGCTGTACAGCAAGGCGATTCAGTTATACACATACCTAACCTACATTTATAGAAATTTTTTAGATCAATTTCCTTTTTTTTTAAATAACGATAATAATGATTCCCACTCAAGAGTTTGTTGGCGATGCTTAAACTAAAACGACTTGCAAGCTTTAGAAAAGTGCCAGGCACACAGGACATGCTCAGCCGGCGGGAAGGATGATCACACCATTACCTCCCGGATAAACAGCATCCTGTCAGTCACCTGCGTCCCATTCCCCAAGGGCTTCCTCTGCACAGAAATACGGCGCCGGAGCTTGGGTGGGGAGTCTGGAGGCCTGGTTTCTGAGCTCTGTGACCTCGGGTAACCCGCGTGCGCGCCCGGGGCAAAGAGGGGCGAGCGAGTCTCAGTGTTCTCGCAGGTTCTTTAAAACTCTACTGTGGCGGAAAGGCACATGAGGAAAGACACGTGAAGCAAAGAATCACGATGCTGAACTCGGCCTCTAACACACTCTCTCCAGGCTTAGGTCTGCCCTGCCTGCCAGGTTCCTCTGCGGGAACAAGAACCTGCCAGGGAAGTGGAACCACGCCATCACCCTCTCTGCCCAGGGAGCCCCCGGCGATGGGGGAGGGGACGGCACCGGGGCCCCACCACCTGCCGGTACAGTCAGAGCGCCAGCACGGTCGGTGATGCGGGCTTCCTCTTCTGTCAGGCAGCCCCCCTTTGCCTCTGTTACTTCCTCGTCAGTAGCAGTGCTGGTGAGGTCCAACGTTCAGACATTTTACTCATTAAATAATTTGTTTTTAATTACTTAAAGAAACCTTGTTGCTTTACTCCAGAAACTGGGCCTGAGATGGCTTTTAGCCGTTTCTCTTCCTTCTAGGGGACAACATCCTGTGTTCTAAGGGCGTACTCACCACCACGGGAGGTGGGAAGCGAGCCGGCCAGCCGCGGCCACCTCCACCGAGCGACATGGCGCCTCCCCTGGGGCAGGTCTTCAAGGAACCAGCCTGTGATGCCCTCCTGCAGCTGGAAGACGGCCAGCAAGAACCAGGCTACAGAGTTTGTTTTCCGATACACTTGGCGAAACGGGACCATCATGGAACAAAACAAATTTTTAGGCAATAAGTCTCAAGAAATGAAAAGCCTCTGTAAACCCTTAGTCAGACACTACGGGTGAGGATGAGAAACAAATCAGGGGTCAGAACTCCAGAACGTCTTCTACCCAACAAACAAATAGCAGCTCTTAATTTCCTCTGGCAGGAGATTGATGATCGCATCTGAATCAACAAGGAGAACCTGTGAGCTGTTTCCAAAGCAGATGGAGAGACGCTTCACTTCAGATTAAGTCTAGAATTCCATCCATCTCGACGAGAGCTTGCTAACCGACTGAACCCCTGCTCCTCAGGCTGGGCGAAAAAGAGGCTATGACAGAAATGGTGAGAGATGCTCCGAAATAATAAAGGCGGACGGAGGCGCTGACTGGCCAGTCAACACCTTTAAGGGATAAAGAGGCCACGGGCACAGCCCCTGTTCCCAATACGAAGTCCCAAGTCCCGAAAAGTCAAGCCCCCCCATAAAAGAAAAAAAAACTACATTTGTGCCCGCTTAAAGGGCTTTTACCACCCTAACAACACGCAGACTGCTTCAGTGAAAATTCTAGATTCCAATAACCTGCAGAGTGAGACCACCTGGGATATTTGTTCTGACTTTCTGGTATCCAACCAGTGTAAGAATCAATTTAGCTTTTCTAATTTTCCTTTTCTCTAGACTTCAGGCCTTATTAAATCTTGGATATCCCCTTACATGATATATTACACAGGCTTCAGGGTGAGGGTTCTGTACATGCCAAAGAAAACGTATTTATAAGGGACCAGAAGGCTGGGTGTACGTGACGGAGGAAGGACAGTGCGGAGAATTCTAAAATGGAGGGAAGGGGTGGGTAGGACTTGAGGAACCAGAACAGTGTGATTGGAAGGGAACAAGATAAAAGCAAAGAAACTCCGAGCTGTCTGCCTAGTCACATAAGGTGGACCTGCTCAGGGTGTGGCGCTGGACAGACTAACTGGCACTCCAAGGTCAGGAAGTGATGGGCGGCTCCGCAATCAGGCAGGTGGGGGAGGTTCACAGAAGGGAGCTGTGACTGATCAGATGGCGGGAGATGATCAGGAAACGGTGAGGCTCGCAGGTGTCCGAGGTGTCAAGTCTCCAGCCTCCTCGTTCAGTGGGCGCGGGAAATAAGCCCAAGTCTATTGGTTGACCTTACGTAGTAAAAACGGTCACTATGGTTGCTATTGGCAACCGAGCGCCCCAGGTTTCCCAGCTTAACGCTCCTGTCCCTGCTGAACCCGCCAGGCGTCAGCACCCGCGCCTCGTTCTCGTCCCCATGTTATCTGAACGGTCTGCCCCTTGTCACAGAGCCCGTGAACTCCAGCAAGACCTTCAAGCTGTCTCTGTCCTCCCCTTGCAGTGTGTCACTCTCGCTCTCGGTTTTCCTTCTGACTTTGGCCACCTCCTCCTCTCCTTTGCTTCCCCCTAAACCTGTCCCTTAAAATGTGCATGACTTCCAGGCTCCCATCCTTCAGCTTCTCATCTCTCTTGATACATACACTACACTTAAGCTAAGAAATTACAAAAAAAAACCAAAAACCAAAAAACTATGTTTCTGGCTCCCAGAGTGCAGACAGATTTCAGGTTCCAACTTGAGGCAAGAGGAGTGGGCATCTAACCTGCGTGCCTACTAATCTCCCTGAGGTAACTCCTCCTCCCATTCACAGACTGACACACCGGCAGACAAGGGCCATTCTGCCTACAGATCGCCTAAAATCCATATTATAAATCTATAAAATATATGAAACATTTATTTATTGACTTTCTTTATATTAGGATATTCTGATATCTTAAAAAAGGAGGGGGGAAGGGTACAGCTCAAGTGGTAGAGCACGTGCTTAGCATGCATGAGGTCCTGGGTTCAATCCCCAGTGCTTCCTCTAAGAATAAATAAATAACCCTAATTACCTCCCTCTCCCCACCAAGAAAAAAAAAGTAATCTTAAAAAGCAAAAACAAAACACAGCCTCCCTAGCTGGGGAGAGAGTGCCCCTCCCAGAGCTAGTTAACTCCGAGAGACAGCAAAGGAGCCAGCGGGGAGCACGTCTGGGGTTTGCAGACTGCGCAGTCCAGGGCCACATCACTTCCATCTGGCCAGGAGCCCTGGAGGAAATATTCCTCTGCCTCCATCGTCCTGAGACCAAGAGCTAGAGACTAACTGGTCAGCTAAAGATGGTTACAGCCTGAAGCCACCCCAAATTACTCAAAGCACCCAACCCCAAACTTCTCACCCTGCCCAGCCTCTACCTTGTTGCTCCCGAGACACAGAAGTAAAGGCTCTGGACAAAATCTCCCCTCCCTTCCCGTCCTCTGCCTCCTAGTCCCCTCGCTCTTTCCCACAAGGTCCCATGCGGCGTTCCGTGCCTCCCGTCTCTACGACCGTGAGTCTGAGAAACTTTGCTTTCCTCGCCCTGTCTGTCTGTCTCCTCTTGTGGCCACACCTGACCGACCATCTCACAAGAGAATACGAAATACATTCAATGTTCTGTGCTTTCTCCCGTCATGGACCAAACCGGTAACCCTCATTAGAACAGTTCCCATGCTTCAATTTTATAAGAACCACTTAAGTGCTGTATTCAAGTACAGATTTTGAATCTCCATCCAGCCTTTCCACCTCCAGAGATTTCAGTGATTCAACAGACAGGGGAGGTGCTGAAGCCTGTATTTTGATCTGTGCTTCCAGGAGATTCGGATTCGGAAGGATTCACAGATTTGAAGAGAATGGATATTTTAAGCTGTGACACAGAGCATGGCTCTGCCTTATGTTTCTTTGCTCCTCCTGGTAAGGGTGCCGGACACCATGCAGAGCACACCAAGTGATGGCCTCTCAAAGATCTCCAGAAGATCCTGTGTGTCCAGCGAGGTGCTTCCCCTTTGGAATACCAGATCCTGTGCAGGGCTCAGTGGAACTGTGTTTCAGAGGACATGCTAAGGTTCCAGAGGGCTTGGTTCCTGACCTAGATGACCTGGGCTTCGGGCTCTCAGCAGTTCTGTCATCTACATCTTAGTGTCCGTGGCCCAGAGGTTGGGCTGGGAAACAGGTGCAGATGCCCAGAAGTGGTGCCTGAACACCCCTTGTCTTCTCATAGCGCTTCCTGTTTGCAAAGGGATTCAGGATCCAGCACCACGCCCAATGCACCCAAGTGGATTCCCCAAGGCTGGGTGGGTTTCAGAGAGGAACATCACACTTACGACACATCCTTTGGTATTACGACATCACGACCGCCTGACTTCTGGTTTTGGCTGCATAAGGACTCTTCATTCATTTGGGCACATAACTATCCATGGGGTCCACACGCTGCCTTTGCAGTGATGTTACAAAGGCCTTCCAAACAAGGATTTGCTTACCTGCTGATTTAAAGTTATGCTCAATTCATTTGTTCAGTCTTTATTAAACAAGTTATTTCTGTACTGGCAAAAGGTCAATTTAATTGCACCAGTAACTTTGAAAAAGACAGTTTAATCAATACAATTGTATTATATATGTGCAGTAAAATGTGGCTTGCTACTTCCAGGAGCAAATTGCAAACAAGAGCAGTTAACAGCAGTTTATTCCTGCTTTTCCGTAACTCCCTCATTTCCTAGTCTCCCTGAACGAGCTCTTGTGAGTGTGTTCATGAACGGGGGCTTGAAATCTGCCCTCTTTTACTTCCTTTTCTTTTCTTTTTTTAATGGCAGTACTGGGATTGAATGCAGGACCTTGTGCACGTTAGGCATGCGATCTACCACTGAGCTCTACCCTCCCTGCTGAGATCAGCCCTCTTGCCAGGACGTCATTTAGCCAGTTGTGGGGCAGCTGTTGGGAAAGGGGAAGCAATGAGCTCAAGTGCATGCCTCACTTTTAGCAACTGATTATTCAGCTGTGTGTTTTTGAAATCAATTAATCGATTAATCAAGTCGAGAAATCCTTCCACAAGGCCCATCTAGTGGGAAAACAAGCAGGTGGGGCCCGTGACCTGAGGGGGCGCAGGGCTGTGACGGGTACCCAATAGGTCTGAAGGGGTGCCTGCCTTACTTCAGGAGGCCAGAGATAAATAGGTAAGAAGTTAAATAGTGGTAACAATTCTAAAGTACTATCCAAGATAAAAAAAATAGAAGAGATGTTATAAAGCATTGATTAGCCGTCGGATGAATAGAACCGAACACAACTAGCAGACTCAGGGTAAAAAGAGGTCTTGTTTGGCTTCAGTGGCTTCATAAGGGCTAGAGAAAGAGAAGGAATTCAGGTGCTAAATGGCAAGCAGGACTGGGATGGAGAAAATAAAAACAAAGGCTCAGGAGGCAGACGAGAAGTGACATGTCTGTGGGACTACGAGGAGAGGATTTCCCAGAAGAGTGGTCATGGACGGATTTCTTCTGTGGGTGTGATCCAGACATTCATGCAGGATTAAAACCCTTCCAATTAAAGACTGCATAAATGCAGGTGATGCAGGTTAGGAAAAGTGCTAACAAAGTGCCTTCAGATAAAGGGAGCTTTCCGAGAACACACGATACCAAAACAAGTGGCCGGGAATGGGCCCCAAATTAATACTTTATATAAGAGCTCCCCCTCGGGCAGTGGCCTAAAAGAAGAGGCAGAGGTTGTCGACGAAGAACTTGCGAAGAGCGCAGCTTGCTCTGGACGCCGCGGCCGCGGCAGGTGACCCCCAGCAACCGCACATCTTCAGCTCAGCCGCCTTGGCTGTCGAAGCCAAATGCCGCCCTGAGATAATGAATTCCAAACGGGGAGCTCAAGTGTGAACACTGTGCAGGGCTCAGCAACGTGGAAAATCCCTCTGTGCACTTCATAATTTTCTGTTTGTTTTATTCTCCGGATGGTAAAAACGTCTGCTTTGTCTCAGGCACACAGCCAAGTTCCAGGGGCAGGGCAGGCCCTCCACCTGGCTCCCGTCGCAGGCACACGCTAGGCTCTCCGCGAAGACGTCCCCATTTATCTGCTGAGATGAGCGATGCGGTGCGGAAAGAGGACCTTACGGTGTTTCTGTATGAGCGCCACGCTGGGGGCCGCAGGTTCTTCACTGGGCTGCGGGCAGAGCTGAAGCACACTGATGAGATCCCAGTGGCCCTCACATCTGCTTGGGTTCAACTCTCTTTCCATCCCACAAACATCCCGTCTGGTTTAGCTTTGGGACAACAGGATTCTGGAGTTCACTGTGAAGACCACTGACCAGAGAGGCAGAACCAACGTCTTACATATAGAACTGTGGCCTCCCTCTTTCTGTCATTATTTCCCCAGATTTTAACATGAAATATCTAAAATTGTTGGCATGGGTACCAGAAAGAGCCTGGGCCTTGAAGTTAGACCCGGGACAAAATCATAACCTAGATTTAGGACCTTGGGAAAGTTATTTCATTCTGTCTGCAGAGTGGAAATAATCATACTATGGCGTAGGATTGAAAATCAGATTCAATCAGATAAATTACAAAATAACTTTACTTAATAGAGTGCCTGGCAATAAATACTCACCCCCTTTCTATACGCCTTTCCCTGTGGACATTCATTTAAAATGCCTTTGTGTGCCTGTGGTCTGAACATCACCTTAGAGCTTTAGCAAAGCATATAATTTTCATGATGTCATCACTTACGAGTTAATAAAATATAATTTTAAGGATGATACCACTTAATAGTCAATAAGATATGTAGATTAAATAATATATAAGTATCTTAATACTTGGTTAGAGTTGCCTATGGAATTCTGCAAAATATTTTACTCAGTGCTTTGCTCATATCTTGGACAAACTTTGTTGAAATAAATGTGCGAGTGATAGCAGATTGGGGAAAAAATAAGGAGGCTTCTGTAAGATACAGGCATACCTCAGAGGTATCGTGGGCTTGGTTCCAGACCACCACAATAAAGCGAATACTGCAATTAATGTTTAGCTTCCCAATGCACATTAATGGTCTGTTTATACTACACTGTGGTCTGTTAAGTGTGCAATAAATACCATGATGTCTGAAAAAATAACGCAGGTACCTCAATTTAAATACTTCACTGCTAAAAAATATTAACCGTCATTTGAGTTTTCAGAGTTGCAATCCCTTTGCTAATGGAAGGTCTTGCCTCTGTGCTGACAGCTACGGACTGATCAGGGCGGTGGTTGCTGAAGCTTAGGGTGCCCGTGGCAATTTCCTAAAGGAAGACAACTTCTTTCAAAATTGGAGTCAACCCGCTCAAGCCCGCCTCTGCTGTGTCAGCTGAGTTCATGGAATATTCTAAATGCTTTGTTGCCGCTGTGACAGTCTCCATGGCCTCTTCACGAGAAGCAGATTCCGTCTCAAGAAACCACTTTCTCTGCTCGTCCACGAGAAGCGCTTCTCATCCCACAGAGCTCCGCCCTGAGGTCTCAGCAGCTCAGCCCCACCTTCAGGCTCCGCGTCTAATTCTGGTTCTCATGCTGTTTCCACCACATCTGCTGTGACTTCCCCCACTGACTTCTTGAGCCCCTCAATGGCATCCATGAGAGTTGAAATAAACTTCTTCCAAATTCCTGTTAATGTTAATTATTTTGGCCGCTTTCCATGAATCACGAATGTTCTTTGTGACATCTAGGATGGGAAATCCTTTCCAGAAGGTTTTCAATTGACGTTGCCCAGATCCATCACAGGAATTAGTATCGATGGCAGTTATAGCCTTTAAAAAATGTATTTCTTAAATAACACATCTTGGAATTGAAATTACTCCTCGATCTACGGGCTGTAGAATGAATGTTGTGATAGTGGGTGTGAAAACAACATTAATCTCTTTGTTCACCTCCATCAGATTTGGGTAGCCAGGTGCGTTGTCAATGAGCACTAATATTTTGAAAAGAATCTTTGTTTCTGAGCAGTAGGTCTCAACAGTGGGCTTAAAATTTTCAGTAAACCATATTGCAAATGGATGCACTGTCATCCAGGCTTCATTGAACCATTTATAGAGCACAGGCAGAACAGATTTTAGCATAACTGTTCAGGGCCCTAAGAGTTTTAGAGCGGCAAATGATCACTGGCTTCAGCTGAAAGTCACCAGCTGCATTAGCCCCAAACAAGAGAGTCAGCCTGTCCTTTGAAGCTTTGAAGCCAGGCATTGACTTCTCCTCTCTAGCTACGAAAGCTCGAGATAGTATCATCTCCCAATAGAAGGCTTTTTTGTTTATGTTGAAAACGTGTTGTTTAATGTAACCACTTTCAATAATTTTCTGAAGCTGGATTGTCTGGATAACTTGCTGCAGCTTCTACACAGCACTTGCTGCTTCGTTTTGCACTATTATGTGATGGAGACGGGTTCTTTCCTTAAGCCTCAAGAACCAACCTCTGCTACCTTCAAACTTTTCTTCTGCAGCTTCCTCACCTCTCGGCTTTCAAACAATTGAAGACAGTTGGGACCTAGCTCTGGATTCGTCTCTGGCTTAACAGAATGTCGTGGGCTTGTCTGATCTCCTATCCAGACCACTGAAGTTTCCTTCATTTCCACAGAACGTTGTTTTGCTTTCTTATCACTCATGTGTTCACTAGAGTAACACCTTTAGCTTCCCTCAAGGATCTGCCCCTTTGCATTCACAACTCACTGTATGGCTCCAGAGGTCTGGCTTTTGGCCTGTATGGGCTTTCAACATGCCTTCCTCACTGAGCTTAATCATTTCAAGCATTTGGCTTAAAGTGAGACACATGCAATTCTTCCATTCACTTGAACCCTTAAGAGGCCACGGCAGGGTTCCTAACTGGCCTAATACCAATATTGCTGTGTCTCAGGGAATAGGGAGGCCCAAGGAGAGGGAGAGAGATGGAGGAATGCCAGTCAGTGGGGCAGCTGGAACACACACAACATTTATTAACTAAGTTCGCTATCTTACATGGATGTAGCTTGTGGCACCCCCAAAACAGCACCATCCAAGGTCACTGATCACAGGTCACCACTACAAATACCATAATAATACCACAAACCTTCAGATTGGGGAAAAAACGCAATATATGCAAAACACAACAAAGTGAAGCACAGTAAGACGAGGTACGCCTGCATTGGAGGCATGTTCCTAGTCCCTGACGTCTCCTCAATACCGGGGCACTCCAGCTTGGCCACGGTGCCCGAGAGCCAACAGAAGGGACCTGATGTCTCACCAGCTCCAGCCAACTGAACTTTTCTGCCATTTAATGGCTATTTCCTGTTCTGCTCCTGCACCATGTTGCTTCAGCGTTAAGTAGGAACGATGCATTTGTCAACACCGTCATTCTCCTCTTTGAAAGATCTTTTCCATACTCTCTGCAGGAAACACAAAGAAGACCTCCATAGCCCCTCAGACCACACACACACACACACACACACTCACACACACACACACAGATCTAATCACCGTAGGGGACCTGGTGGTGACTCTCATTAGTTGTTCTGACTTGGGTCTCTTTACTCAGTGGGAGGCACCAGAGGAAAGAAATCACAGGTAGACAGACAGAACGGGCATAAATATGTCAGAGCAGATGGTTTGGCTGAGTGCTGTGTTCTTGTATTTGTTTTTGTGTTCTCATGTTGATATTATTATGTCGTGGTGCCTTCGGTGATCCACGGAGGGACTGGCTAATGTCACGTAAGCGACAGAACAGCACACGCTTTAGAGGTAACCACGCATGGTCTCCTCTCTTTATTTTGTTAGCCTGGAAATTGAAGACGAGATGTGGGCCTATGAAAGTAGCAGCAATCCAGCTTCTAGAAGCCCCGTGTTCGAGCCCCAGCTCCACTGCTAACAGCATGACCTCAAGCAGCAGCAAATCACACCTCCTCTTGAGGTCTCGGGCTCCCCATCCGCCATATGAGAGTTAGACACGCTCAGTGGTTTTCAATTTTTTTGAAGTGGTTTGGACTCTCATCTTAAGAAACTCTTGCAGAGACCTTCTATTCGTAAAGCATATGGACAAAGAACAAACAACGCTAGTTCTCTCATTTTCTCCCTCCCTCCAGTTCCAAATCTGAGTGCCAGGAATACAATATGAGAGTTGCTGGACCAGATGAGCTGTAAGACACTACCTGGCTGTATGAGTCTAAGATGTACAAGGCAAGATAAGTAGAAGGAATGTTATTTTCTGGCCTACCTTGGCTTCCTCACACAATACTGTCCACCTGCTCTAGTGGAGCAGTGCTGCGTGGAGTGTCTGATTCTGCATTACCTCACATGCCCAGGCCAGCAGCTCCTAACTCCTTAGATGAAAATCTGGTCCATGAACAGAACGCTTGACCTCAGAGAGAAAGCTTTCCAGGATGTAGTGAGCTTGTGGTCACAAATTCAGAGAGGATGTACCAGGGATTCCTCCCCTGGGCAATTGAGCTAAGTGGCCCCACTCAGAAACAGTTTCTTTTAGCAAAGAGCAGTCTAAAGTACATTTTTCTACCTCTGAGAATCACGTTCTAGTCCATATGCAAACACTACTGACTGAATGTCATAAAATGAAAGACAAAACACACTTCGTTTCCTTTCTTCTTACAGAACAGTGGTCAGGAATTTTGATCTGTATTAATTTACTACTCCATGATTCTGACTAAGACCATAGGGCAAACAGTCCTTAGTTCTCTGGAATCTCACAAAACAAACAGTTTCTGCCAATGTGAGGTCACGGATACCCAGAGTTCCGTGCCTTCCTTCTTTGTCCAGCCCAAACTTTGACTCTTTGATGTGGGACCAGAGACAAGACGCCTCAGGTGATGCAGACGGCCATGGGGTTAGTCAGGCGTCTCACAACAGAGATGACAGCAATAAGTCACTGAGATGT